CGCCCTTTAAATTTAACATCTTTCGAACTCTGCCAGCAGAATTTCCGAAATCGCCAAACCAAGCAATCAACGAAATTAACGATTTTCAAGAATTTCTATTCAAAACGCAGTGTTGACGATGATAATCTAAAAAAACATAATAGAAACATAATAGGACTATTATGACTTGTTATTTCTATGAAACTATTCCTTAGAACCGACGTTTTGAAACTCTGAAAAAAATAACATTTTCTTTTGTAGTAAACACAGGCCTGGCACTGTTAAAACCGTAGAGGTATTTGCAACTTGGAACCTATTTATACACTGTAAAATATTGGTGTGCATAATGTGTGAGGACATTAAGTGCTCTATTAACGTGTATCCATATCCAGAACTATTGCTGAAATAATAAATTATATATGCATACTTGGATCTAAAAAAAATCTCATTGTACGCTGACAAAAAATACACGAGTAATATTCCCCCTTAACGAGAGAACGAAAAATTAGTTAGTATAAGTGATGGTGTGGAACGGACTATGACATTGTACCTTATTAGATATACCTATCCAAACTCATATTCATTTCCAAAATATATCAACGTACCGGTTCAATGCGTTTTTAATTAATTTTAAAAATTTAACCGACGTTCTCTTGGAAACACGATCGCATTCATTCTATACAAACCATATCCTTTCAAGTTTGTATATCGCTTTGTATTCGAGTTTCTATTACAGAACACAGCGTAACTATTGCAACTTTGCATCCATTAGAGAATCTACATATTAATTAAAATATTAATTAACAAATAAGAGTTCAATTCAAGACTGGATAAAAACTCGGTATACTAGTACTAAATACTAATACTGGTTAAAATTTAGGTGGAAACAATTTTGACAAAAAATGAGGTCATCACAATAACATTATTTAATATTCATTATTTAATGTGTTCCTGTGTCAGTAAAAACACGAACAAACGCAATAAAAGTAGAATGTTTGTTGAAGCCATTGGAAAATAATGTCCATTCAGTCCAATAATGATGATGACAAAAAATGGCGTGCCAAAGGTTACATTCCTTTCGATGACAGAAAAGTATGATAACTACGTCTCACTACCCATGTAGTAAATTATAGACTTCCTTGAGATTAGTATATTTAGACACTCAATAATGTGATCACTTACGGATGCCTTGGCGAAGCTTTGTCGGTAGCCGTCGTTGTTATCTCTGCTTTCGTCTCGTTAGCCAGATGTAATGGCCTTTCCCCGTCGAAGGCGATTTCTAGAACTAATTGAAAAGTGTGCATAAAATCGACAACACCGCCGACTATTATATACAGAAGAATGACAAATATATAATCCAGGAGATAGGTTCTTAAACCTCTAAGTAGAAACATCATGATGCTACCGGGGTATACAGACGAACTGCACGAATAACTCAGCTGATGCACACGCCACGCTCTAATAAAACAACTATCCTACACAAACACACAATGTCGTTACCAGGCAATAGCATCACATATTATAATATTAATTTTCAATAACATACATAATTTATATATAACTGTGAAATTAGGAATCATTGATGTATTTTTTGCAGGTCGGTGTTGGTTCAGTAAATAAATGTTTCTTGTTCTCCGACCCAACTTGAAAATGACGGTGGATATGTAAAATGGTTATGCACAAATAACAACTAAATAAGTGAAAAGAGATACAATGCGATAAGTAAGTCTTGATATAGTAGTTGTATTCATAATTGACAACAAGACTGCATGTGATATTTGGGAGAGGTAACGAATACGCCAAACCACTGTGGCCAAACCTAAGTGAGAGCGGCGGTCGAGGCGATTAAGTGTAGCGAGAGGAGTATCCATGTATCCCATGTTTGTCGGAATTTCGCGTAGAAAAGGGTATTTTTTAAAGTTCGCAATTTCTCAAAAACGAAAAAGGGTACTTTTTTAAAACAAGAAAATGTTTTGACCTTGTTGTTTAGGAAGTGCTACCTGAACCAAACAGAACATGGGGAAGGTATACTACAGCGGAACTTATATCGCACATTAACGTGCTACATTAATTCTTGGCAAAATTTGCGCATGTTTTGATATTGTATATGTTTGTGTTATTCCACGATGATATATACGTTGTTTAAGAGTCAAGATAGTATGGACGCACGTTTTTGCTTTTTTTTTGGGGGGGGGAGGAGGATGCGAGTGAAATATGAAAATATTTGCGCCAGTCATCAGTGAAATGGCAGGGTATATGAATTGACCCTGAATACAACCTATCACGACCAATCATATAGTCTTTTTCAAAACGTTAAACAATTGGAGATATCTCCGTCATTTCATCGCCGTCGCTACATTTTTTGACTAAACCATTCTACATGGCAAACACACCCATCCTGTTGTTAAAATTGTTTCTTTGTTTGTCCCAAATGTTCACGATCACTAGTTAACATTATACATGGTCACAATTTTAGAAATACCTGATCTAATCTAATTAAAAAGTGTGTTTGGGCCTGTAGCGAGTGTTGAGAGCACACCGGAAGTGACAATGTAAGTGACCGCATGATGGCGTTCTTTAATACTTCAGTATTCAATAAAGAAAACTCGAAGATCAAAAGAAATCATAAGCAGTCGTAAGTTATCATTCAAACAGACGTGTTGCCGCTGTTGGTAGTTTCATGTTTGCTCTAGTTGACATACGTGAATTAAGCAAATGTAAGACAATCTGTATAATGAAGGGCATGCGCGATATATGTGGGTCTCATATAAACAAAGATGGCGACTTTGACTGTTGCGCAGATCAACGAGTACAAACTGATACGTTTACGAAACTTTAATTAGGTATTTTTAGGTGATTGGAAGGTATCAAAGAAGTCACCGGCGGTAATTAATGAAAGTCGCGCCTAGGTAAAACCACATATTTGTGATTGCCATTAGAAGAGCGCATTGGATTGTGGGAATATCAATGTTTATCAACACAAATATCGCACATGCGCAGCGCGACGGCTGCCGTGCTTTAAATCACAAACAACTGATACACATTATGGGGGAACCAGAATTGTAATTGAATATTACAGCGTATGACATGGCGGAATTGTGTACAAATCTTGTGCAATCTCAGCAGTCGCTGGGTTGGTGTGGTTTGTTAGTTTGTGTATATATCTGGTGTCGTATGTGTGGGCTTCGAATACGAGAATAATGTTCAGCACCAGCAATGAAGTCTGATTGACTAACCCCACTGATGGTGCTGTACGTTACCAAGCATAAAACGTGAACTTCAATTGATCTCACTGTGATGACGCATGCGTTGTGGGACACGAAAAAAGGGCCCGAATAACGCGCACTGCGTATACAATATGCTAATGACTTTAACATGAATATTATTTTAAAGTGCAATTATTGGTAGAAATCATTTAATATTAAACGCCGGAATCACGTATAATCGGTCTTTACCTCCACTCTGTCTATTGTGGTTATTTGAAGACTCTACACTCTTTCTATCATACTAAACTGATCACTGATCACTAGGTATTGATTGTATACAGCGTCACCAGTGGCTGTTCCCGGCTACATGTATCCAGAATACTCTTAGCCGTAGTTAAAGCGGGGAAGGCGTCACCTGCGCATGCGTCAGATGGCCATAGCGTGTTGTTGTTTACAAACAAGCGTCTACCCGCCTTTGCGTTTTTAGCGTGCGTTGATAACATCGCTTAGGACTCAATTCCCGCGCGTGCGCACGTGACGACCCCTCGGCTTTAAATACGTATATCAAATAAAACAATTGAACTGCCTTTTTGTTCAAAAATCGATCGATGGATTGATTGATTATTTATATATCAATTTTGCTGTCGGAATCCACACTGATGAACTAAAAATAGCAGTATCATTTGTGAGACTGACAGTGAAAGTAAAATGTCACCGACAAAAGTTGTCTAGGATGAAACGCGTCTGTGATTGCAGCCATGTTAGAAGCCGGTTTATATATTGTGAACGTTTGTGCGTGCGACTGAGAGTCACTTGTTGTTGTTTATTATGAATAATCTGTCATCGTGTAAGTAGGTGTTTACCGAGGGCCTAACTAATGTAAGCCAATTGTCACAATTTTACACAAATGTATGGACATTGACTACCATTGGACCCGGTAGCAAGCATTTGCATAAAGCGTTCAAAGCGATGAAACAACACACGCTAAAACACACATGGGGACGCTTGCTTGTAAACTATGGCACGGTATGGCCATCTGACGCATGCCCAGGTGACGACTCCCCCGCTTTAAGACGATAGTGCAGCAGTACGAAAAAAGTCAATATGCTAATTAGGGTTCATGGAATGGCTCTGATACAATATTCTTGTCTTTCAGCAATGTTGGCTGACGTTGACGAATGTTCCAAATATAGATATTCTCAAAATGTATGTTTTCAGAAGAATGAGGGGGGGGGGGTAATGAAAATGGCTCAGTAATATATTGTATAATCAATTAGCTTTATTTCAAGTATTCATTTCTATGACGTAATCAACTTTATTATGTTTTATTCTGGAACACCCTCGCTTGGTTCGCCAGACTGAGAAGCTGCTGGGGACGATAATGGCGTTGAATGATAGTAGTCATAACCGGGGCGTCGGTTATTGAATATGGGCATTGGAGATGGATATCCCATTGACATAGAGGGGTCCCCCATCAACATCCGCTGGAATGACAGTGCTTGTGCTTGCGACCGAGCTTGAGATTCCGCGATTAAAGTGTTGACGTCATCAACCCAGTGTCTTCTAGGTCGACTGGAGCTCCTTGACAAACAAAAGATATAGTGGAAAAGAAAATTATAATAATGTCGATTACTGAAATGTTGCATTTAAATTGGTCAACCGATGCCACGTGTGCATCCCGGTTTCTCTGCTTCACTACGTCACGCCTATTACTGCGCACACCTCCGCCCTTCTCCCTGCCCGTTATAACATAAATACGATGTTCATTATATAAATACAACTGGGTTGTTTAACATTCACATGGACATTCATCTCTCACCTGTTGTCCTGTGCTGCAGGCGAATTGCTTTTATGTGTCCTAAACTTGCTCAATTGCTCACGTAAATGATCCACTTCTTGGTT